CCAACTCTTAACTTAGCATTTCATTACCTCGCTTGGGTTCAAAATTGCACATGTGGAACCAGTCTGTTAATGAAGTTCCATGTTGGCTCAGGCTATTTTTACTGCTGGCTACAAAGCTGTGTTGCACATCCATTCTGTTGTTGAGGAATGTGAGATTGTTGAACTGATGCAGCAGATTGATTTGAAGACAAAGAAACCTATGAAGAAAAAACCTCTGTTTGTAAAGAACGGTGCTATTGTTTTATGCCGTGTTCAGGTTAGCTGTCTAACTTAGTACCAGGTGGACCTTTTTCTTCAATAGTATTTTAATAGTACCTGGTGGACCTTTAGAAAGGAAAGAATTGGTTCTTGGATTCGACTCTTTAGGTGCTGTCTTCATGTTTGTGGTTCCCTCTTTGTTACCATTTGAATTTGCAGAAGTCACCATTCTCACGCAAATGTTTGTGAATTCCTCTATCTCTTGAAGCTGTTAATTATCTTGTTTGATCTCGAGTCTAATTAATAGTATAGCAGAATGTGTTCTATGCTGCTTGTCTGGCCTATCTAATAAAGAATGATGAAAGATTATCTAGTTAGGGGATAAAATATTTTCTTTACCTTGAACTCCGTCGTCCTGTTTCTTTCACCCTTAACTTATAAATTTTTTGAAAAACTGGTCGTTTAGTTGTGTTTTGTCTCGAAGTTAATTCTTCCAAATTATCATGCCAGGTAAATAATCTGATATGTGTAGAGAAGTTCTCCGACTTTGCTCAACTTGGGCGATTCACTCTTCGCACTGAAGGTAAGAACCATTGTGCTCTGTAAGCTTATTGTTTTTATTTCTCTGCACGTCATGCAACATGTGGTTATAATGACTGCCGTTTGTGTAGGGAAAACTGTTGCTGTGGGGAAAATTACTGCACTGCCTACTGTTGCTGATAATGCATAAGCAACCTGGTAACTTAAAAGGTGGAGATGGTTTCTTTTTGTTGGTACTTCACATAAACCTTTTTGGTTGATGAATGATGATAGGAGCGTAGATACGACATAGATAGCCATGCTTCCAGTTGTTACATTCTAGATATTTTCTAATCAAACTGAGTTAAGAGGATTGAGCCTTTTTTGATTATTTAAGTTTTGCATTCATCGATGTATTCCTGGAACAGTTGCTTTTACAATCCAGTTTGAAGCTGATGATCACTCACACGACCCCTTACTATTTGAACAGTCTTCAGTGGCAAGATGAGCATAAAAGGTTTTAATTGCTCACCGGCAGAGCAGCAGCAACACCAGAAACTTATGGTTCTCAGCAGCATTATGGAAGAGAAGTTGGTCCATCTTTCAGATACGCACACAAGTATTCACGAGTTTGGAGTCTGCATAGCATGGTATTGTTTGGTATTTGTTACTTTTTACTAGCATCGAATGATGTATTGTTATCTAGAACAGTGTCCAGTATGAGATTATTTGGTTATATACACTTTGCCCATCACGATTTTTGCACTAAAATTTTGGCGAAACTTGAGCTTATACACCTTGCACTAAGATATTGAGATGATCTTTATGAAATCCAGGCCCTATATTTTTTCTCTGACATAATATTAGACATCCTTTCCTATCTACAATGGGTATGTAACAAGTGCAGAACAAAATCTTATAGTATATGGAATCAACAGGCTTTCCTCTCAAAGTCCTTTTTTCTCCAACCCTCGCGACTCCCAACTCCACACCTTTCCTTCTTTGGACTGGCCGGTCTTGCTCCCATGTACACGGGGAATGTGGACATTTTTTTGTTTAGGTTAGTGAATTCTTGGAGCCACTAATGGCTCCTTATATCAATAACTTTATATTCTTGGAAGGGGAGCCTTGGAGCAACGGTAAAGTTGTCGAGCCGTGGAAGCAACCACTAATGCTTGTATTTGGGTAGGCTGTCTACATCACACCCCTTGCATTGAGGCCCTTCCAAGGACCCCGTGTAAATACGGAATGCGTTGTGCACCGGGCTGTCCTTTTTAAAAAAAGTGAATTCTTGATATAGTTTTCAAGTTAGTTCGTTGAACCTGATTAGTGTTAGATCCTGCTTCGTATGCAGTTGAATGAAATAGAGGTGAAATGAAAATGAAAGCAAGCACATATATAGCCTGTTTGGCCCAGCTGCAAAAATCAACTTATTTTGGGAAGTGTTTTTTCTTCAAAAGTGCTATTCTCAAAAGTACTTTTGGTGAGAAACTGTTTGTGTTTGGTTAATTTACTTGAAAGCATTTCTGAGCAGCAATTAGTGTTTGGCTAAGCTTTTAAAAACTGCTTCTAAAGGTATTTTTTTCCAAAGTGCTTTTGAAGAGAAGTTATTTTTTTTCTGCTTATCTTCAAAAACATTTTTTTTTTTCTTCCAAAAGCTTGGTCAAATACTTCAACTTTGAAAAAAAAGTATTTATTTTTTGAAAAAAAATGCTTCTTGAATTGGAGAAGCTTGGCCAAACAGGCTAATATTGCTGGTGAATATTTGTTTTCTCATTTTGTACGAAATAAGTTACAAAATAGTGGAAAGTTCTTACCATTATTTGGTTTGTACTATGGTTCTATATAACAAAAAAAATCAGAATTATAAAAAAAGTAAAGAACCAAAAAATGAGACACTGGCAAGATTGAGCGAAGTTAGACATTTTGTGATTAATTATCAGTTCTGGTTTGTTAATTCCAAACAAGAAAAGGAAAACCTAATTGAAACGGGTTTTTGTCAAGTTGTAACGAACTCTATGCATATGCTATTGTTTCTCTATCTGTAAATTAATAGGACGCCTTCTGTTAAACGGTCAAGGACTTGCGATCTAATTATGACGCCTACGAAATTCACATTTTTAAAGTTATGCGTGAATTAGCATATCAAAATCTGAACGTTATGCGAGAAAGGATCATGTTAGTTTAAGAGGATTATCCATAGTAAAAACGTTCTAGAAATATTCAAATTTTCCTACTGTACAATATAGCGCTTATATGGCACAAGAATAGTGGGTGCAACCAAAATGGTTGACTTCGACTGAATTAGTATATAACTGATAAATGAATAATATTTGAAAAAAATGCATCTACATTGAATTGTGGTAGCCAGCCAACTTCTTTTAAACAGTAGTAGTGCGGGCAATGATATACTAGGCTACGGACATTGCAACTGATTTTAATGGATTTTTTTTACACATGACGAATGTTCAAAACTAGATTTTTATTACATATCAATTTAAAAGGGAGTTTATCGAAAATAGCCTCTTTGCAGCCAGGACAGAAATAAGGCTGCATACATACTACCCTTCACATATTCTACTTGTGGAAATAGAGTTGATCAATATTGTCCCTTATCTTTGAGGGTATGTCTATTTTGGTCCCTCAAATATAACCCTGAGCATGTTTAGTCCCTTAAGTATGCTAAAGTGGAGCACCTTTAGTCTCACTGACACAATATGTTCAAAAGCTAACGGTTACCCGGCTCTGATTCATGAAGCAAATCTTCTGCTCTGAAACAAAACGTTTCCTCTCCTATTAGATACCGCAAATTATCACTTTAATTTCTCATTTTTTTGATAATGTCTTCTAAAATTTTGACCTTGAAAATATCACCCTCTGTGCCAGTTTTCAATGAGAAAATGATACTGTATAGCTGCTGTAAAAATAATAGCCTAAAAAATATATAAAATTTGTATATTGTTTTGTATATATATACATTTAAAATTTTTGGTTGATTCTTCCAAAAAGAAAAGTTAAAATTTGAAAAAATAGAGCTGCTAGGATCACTTATAGGCATATTATTGAAGCAATCGAATAACTAGGTTGTATTATCACTTTTAGCCTGTTTCAAAAATTATTTTCATCTGGTAGCTGAAAAAATATATAAAATTTATATAATTTTTGTATATTAACATACAAAATGTATATATATATATATATACAAGTTTATATATTTTTTCGGCTATTATTTTTACAGCGGCTATACAGTGTCATTTTCTCATTTAAAATTGGCATAGAAGGGGATATTTCAAGGTCAAATTAAACTGATAATTTGCGGTATCCAATAAAAAGAGAGGAAACGTTTTGCTTTAGAGCAGAAGATTTGCTTCATGAATTAGAATAGGGTAACACCGTTAATTTTACTTTAGCATACTTAAGGGACTAAATATGCTCTGGATTATATTTGAGGGATCAAAATAGATCTATAGCCTGTTTGGCCAAGCTTCTCAAGAGGCCAAAAATGCTTTTTTTCCCTAACTTGAGGTGTTTGGCCAAGCTTTTTTGAGGAAAAAAAGTGCTTTTGGGAAGAAGCAGAAGCAGTTTCTGAGAAGCAGAAAAAAGTAGCTTCTTCCCAAAAGCAGAAGCAGTTTTGACTTTTCTTCTTACCAAAAATGCCCTTAACAAAATATAGTATATACCAAAATAACCATTAAACCTATTACTTAGGATATTAACGTATAAATATTTCTTCTTATTTTTAGGATATCTTTCTAATATATAGTGACTTTAGCGGTGAATGCTTTTATATTTGTTGAATGATTTTTAATATATTTAACTTATATTAAAAGAATTAAGTACTTTTTAATTTTATTTTCATATTTTACTTAAATAAAATGAAAAGATTTAATTATTGCATGTAATAACAAATTTTTGAGATTATTTATTTACTTATAATATTAAGTATAAAGTAAATCTATTCATGTCCTTATTCGTAATTTGATACTTAAAAGCACTTTCTAAAAAGCTTGGCCAAACACAAATTATTGCTCAAAAGTACTTTTCAGAGTAATTAGCCAAACACAAACTGCTTTTCTCCAAAAGTAATTTTTTCAAAAGCACTTTTAAAAAAAATACTTCTCAAAATAAGTTGATTTCTCCGGCTCGGGCAAACAGGCTACTAACCTCAAAGATAAGGGGTAATATTGGCCAAAAACACTATGGAAATACAATGGGTTGTTGTTGTATTAGTTCAAAAGGGTAAAAAACAAAAGGATCAAAAAGAAGCCCGTATAGATTGCAATAACAGTAGGTATATAATCAGAAACCAAAAATGGGGGACTAACTACAGCCACTTATGAGATGCTGCTGCTCTCTTCTTCCATCCCCTTGAGTTGGGGAACTTTCTGTCCCTCTCAAGCTTCTCTCAACTGCACTTTCGGAGTTCCTTTTAATCACTCAAAGTTACAAACTTCTCTGAGATTCTCAGCTTTTAAAACCAGAGCCACCTTTGACGAAAAGGACCAAAATTCTCAAGCTTCCATTCTTATTCAAGAAGAGGAATTCAAACAACCCAACTGGGTATAATTCTCATTTTCTTTTGTATTTTTAATTTAGGGTTTTAAGTATTCCTTTACTAAAAGGATTTGAACTCAGTAATATATGTTTGTTCTGAAAATATTACTCCCTCCGTTCCAATTATTTGAAACTAAAGGTTGCTACATTCAGAATAATTTACTTTAAACTTTTTTTTGTTCTTTTAATGATAAGTTTTATAGTATGACATATATAAGACCACAAATTTCTTAGCTACACAAATGAGGTGACATGTTTAAGACCATTTCGACACAGTATACAGTAGCTGTTACTTTTTTTTAGCTTAATTAATATGCTAAAGCTCCTTTTTTAAGAAAACCCTTTTGCTTAAAAGATAATTTTATCCATGGTCATTCAACTTTTGCGTTTGTTACCCAAAAGTCACTTTTTTTTTTTTTTTACATAAAAATCATTCAAACTTTGTGTTCCTTACACAAAAGTCACTTTTATTTCTTTTGTTACACAAAAATCATTTTACTTTGCTCTAGTTATCACAAAAGTCACATTTTTACTTGAAAAGTCTATTATGCCCTTGATATTATTTAAACCTTCATATTTATGTAATACTTTCTATATTATATACTATATAATATATTTTTACCTATGTATTTTATTTATAAATAAAATAACTTAATATTATTTTATTTATTATTTTTATAATATATTCGTATATTTAATTTTTTTTAACTTTAATTTTCAAGATATATTAGTAGCGTTATAAAATAACTTTTTTTCAGCAATTCCTTTTTTATTTTTATTTACTTGACCGATCAAAGTTGGTCGGTAATTTCCGACCAACTTTGGTCGGTATGCCCTTCCGACCTTCAAAATACCGACCACACGTTTAATGGTCGCGTCATCACCGATCAACTTTGGTCGATTTTTTTGAATGGTTTTTCTCGAATTTCTAGTAGTATAATTTCCCAAATAACAATTGCCCAGGTAAATCCCCAAGAAAATATCCCTAGCTAAATTCGCATGTAAAGTTACCTAGGAATTTTCCTTCAGATTAACATATGATTTTTTTCTCATTTCTTTGTTTTTTCACCTTCGAATTTTCTCACGGAAATGTACTTGCCGATTTATTTCTCTACTAATATATATTAAAGTTACTGACAAATTTAATAACGCTACTAATATATTTTGAAAATTAACGTTAAGAAAAAATTAAATATACGAATATATTATAAAAATAATAAATAAAATAATATTAAGTTATTTTATTTATAAATAAAATACATAGTTAAAAATATATTATGTAGTATATAATATAGAAGGTATTACATAAATATGAAAGTTTATATAATATCAAGGGCATAATAGACTTTTCAAGTAAAAATGTGACTTTTGTGATAACTAGAGCAAAATAAAATGATTTTTGTGTAACAAAAGAAAGAAAAGTGACTTTTGTGTAATGAACACAAAGTTGAATGATTTTTACGTAAAAAAAAAAAAGAAAAGTGACTTTTGGGTAACAAACACAAAAGTTCAATGACCCTGGATAAAATTAACTCCTGATTAGTATATTCTAATTTATTAACTGAGTTTCTATGGGCAATTTGGATAAGAATTCTTACTGGGCACTTACTTTTGGTTTACCTACTGGTTGTATGAATTAAAACTTTATTTAGGAAGTTGAAGAGAGTGTAAGAGTACTGAAAAATGCTGCAAAAACAAGAAAGGTTGCAGCAGGGGAGATACTGGCTGCTTTCTCTGTGATTGAGAAAGCAAAAATTGATTCTTCAAAGTTTCTTGAAACTCTTGGTGGAACCGAATCTCCGGGGAGGACGTGGATGCTTATTTTTACTGCTGAGGTTTGTAAATGCATTTTGTTTCCTCTTCTTTCTGTGTTCCGTTATGTTACCTATATATATTGTCCAATTTTTCATTGTAATGTTGAAGCCTTATTATTATTGCATTATTTTTTGCAGAAAGGTTTAGAACGAGGTAGATATTTCCCAATTACAGCTGTTCAGAGATTTGATGCAGCTGTAAGCTTTACTACTTCTCCTTTTTATCTGTATTTCAACATTAATAAAGGAGATCACTCTAAAAATAGAAGGTAAAACTAGAGAATATAATAATTTTTCTCTCAGTGGGGTGATATAACTTTGTTGCTCCCCGTGTATTCTTGTGTCATGTAATGGTTGCTAATGTATAGATCAGAATTACAATTTCCTTCATGAAAGCTTCGAAATAAAGAGATTCTTATCTTTGTATAACTTAAGCATTTACTATGGCAGAGAAGATTAGATCAAATGACTTGTCACATGAATGAGAGCCGGGG